GTGCTCCACCGGGGCCTGCGGCTAGAGCAATGGCAAGCGTGGACAAGGATGGTTTGTATGTAGGATTACAGGAGCTTTCATCAAAAATTCTTAACACTTAAAGGGGTTATATAGGGTGCTCACTATAGGAATTATTATTCGAGGTACTAGGAGTTTTGACTATAGCTCACATGCGGTTATATAAGGGTTATATCGGAATTACATAGCGGTGTATAAGGATAATGAACAAGAAGATTGAAACCACCATGTATGGCTTGGGCTTTAGGGTTTAGGATGAGGGCTTGCAGACAAGGTTTAGGCTTGAGGCGTTAGCGCTTACAGGGTTAGAGTTCAGGGATAAGGTTTAGGGTTTAGAGGTTCAGGGTTGTTCACATGAACAACTCTGCATGACGTTAGTATAGTATAGCAGGCGGACAATTCCAAGGTTGACGGCACTTGGCTCGTGCAGGATTCTTCCAATCGATCCGAGCAAGCTTTGGAACAAGAGGATATGGGTGGAGGGCTTGGGGGGTTAGGAACAAGAGCCATCGAGATTCGGGTTAAACACAAAATAATATCATATCGATTTTTTAGGATTGGGTTTAGGACTGGATGGGGGGACAGAGTACTTGCAACATTTAGCGGAAACGTTTCTGAGCCTGTGTCCTCCTGCTGCCCAAATTGCTTTAGAGTTGCCGGGAACATACTTGCAAACCTGATCACTCTTGTTTAGGCCATTACTTCAAGTTACGTGGGACTGGGCTTAAAACCCCACTTATAATCCCCCAAACATACATGGGTTGCCCCTTTTTTTCAGGTATACGTAGGTTTCTGGCCCAGTTCTAAATCTTTTGAACCTGAAAGGCCCAGCAACCTGCACGTAGACCCCAAACCCTAATCCCTAAACCCATTCTACGTAGGGACCTAAACCCTTAGCCATAAACCCTAAACCTTACAGCAGCTCTAATGCGCGACATGCAAGAAGCATGAAACGGGCAGGTCCCGGAGGTGAGAGATTAAGCTACAGGGTCTAGGGGTTTAGGGTTTTAGGGTTTTGGGGGTTTAGGGGGTTCAGGGCTTAGGGTCCCTTAGGGGTTGAGGGTTTTCGGGATTTAGGGGTTGAGGGTTTAGGGTCCCTACTCGATACCCCCTCTACCCTCATCTCTAAAGCCGTGACATTTATGGGTTTCAAGCTACCAACTCCCGCAGTTAGAGCCCTCAACGCCAATAGGCTTTGGGTTTTTAGGGTGTCGAAGGTTTAGGAGATCTTAGGAGTTTAGGGTTTAGGGGTTCAGATTGAAGGGATGAGGGCTCAGGGTGTAGAATCCGAACTGAGGCGCAGAGCCTATAGATTCCACCGGGCCAAGAGCCGAGATTACTGACTTCTATACATTACATTACCCTAACCCTAAGGGTCCAAGGACCCAAATAATGGGGTTTTAGGGCCCAAATACTAATATTTACGGTATTTGGGCCCTAAAACCCTATTATAAGGGTCCTTGGACCCTTAGGGTAAGGGTCCAAGTACCCAATAATCATATACGTACCCAAAACCAATACTACAATTACTATTACCCAAAACCCAAGTACCTGATTATTGGGTACTTGCACCCTACACCCCATATACCCTTACATACCTATTATATACTCTATATATCCCGTTTACAGGGACCTAATTATTGGGCACGTGGACCCTTAGGGTTACAATGTGTGGGCTCTGAATTTCCTGCAAAAAGGCATCCCATTGAGCCAAAGGGTTTAGGGGGGGCCCCAAAAGTAAGTAAGATAATAGCCCAAAACTCGTAAGAATAGCCCAAGAGGTAATTTTACATGCTTTTGGGATTCAGGTAGGGTTTAGGGTATATAGAGCTTAGGGTTGGGAGCCCTTTGGCCTCCTTGGTGCAACTGGTGAAAGCCTGAGGATCTCAATGCCGGCGTGGAATCTCTCGATCGGAAGCTGGACAACTTCATGCGGTCCTGTGCCATTCAGTGATGCGCCGCGATCCTGATGCTTTTGCTTGGCTCGCTGGCTAAGTCTCAGTAGGCTTTGCATGCTTAAGGTTTGAGGCTTAAGGTTTGGGGTGCAGGGTTCAGGCTAGGGTTGAAGATATATGGCAAGCCGCCATACTCTTCACAGCTACCAGGGATACAATCTCCATTTCCCGAGCGAGTTGGTTGCACCCTGGAGTTTGCACAGAATGGTGTGTACAGTGTCCGCCTGAGACTACCAGGGCTGCATGCTGCATCAAAAACATGGATGCGCCATGCGGCTGGCCTTTCCCAAATGAGCTTCAGTCTAGAGTCCTGTCAAACGGGACAGATATATATATATATATGTATATTATATATATATATGTGTACATACGGGGGATTATATGGGGGACTAATATACGGATTATTCCCAAGAGTACTCGGAGTTTAGACTATGGCTCAAATGGAGGTCCACTTTATGTGTCCGCAGACCTAAGACTTTCGGTGGCCTCTTGGTTTGAGAAACTACTGGGCCTCTGAATTTTTCAAGCTATAGTTTAAACTCCTTCCAGGGTGTTTTTGGTGGATTTGAAAGGGGAGTATTATAGGGCGGTTATTAAGCGGGATACCAGGAGTGTTGAGCATATTTGTCATATTGCTTCGGCTTCATCATGCACATTGTCCGTGCCTTCCTGATGAAGCATGGGGGTCAAACCGTTGACCCCTACTAGAACCTGTCCACGCCAGCAACAACATCCGCAAGATCATTGGCTCCCGGACCCACATAACACTTTGCAACCTAAACCCAAAGCCCTGAAACCCTGAACCCTAAACCATTTTGGAATCCAGTCCCCTGATACCCCAGGCTAGCAGCCTTCAAAAATTCAGCATTTCTCCAAAATGTACAGCCTCTGAACCCTAAACCCGAAACCCCGCTATACGCCCTGAATGGATTGAAGATTTCAGAGCATGCGGCCTTTCAAGCGGCCTAAGAAAGCCCTAACCCCTAACCAACCTGACCTCCCGCAAGGTTTAGGGTTTACGGTACTTAGGGTTTAGGGGTTAGGGTATAGGGTATAGGGGTTTAGCAGTTTAGGGTTTAGGGTATAAAGGTTTAGAGGTCAGGGTTTAGGAGTTTAGGGGACACCCTCCCCTGTGCGTTGAGCCCCAAAACCCTGAGCTCTAGATTTAATCCAAAAGCCTTGACGACGAATCCCCAAGCGCTAATTCCTTAACCCTTTTAATATACCCCAAAATCCTACACTCCTAACACCCCAAAACCCTAAACCTGAATCCTTAAGCCTACACCCTAAAACCCTAAAATCTTAAAATCCTATGTGGCCGACGCAGAGAGGGCTGTCCAGTCATGCCTCCCGCGCGGCGCTGGCTCCAATCACGCTTACAAATTGGCCTTTGGGATCTCAATTTCCCTGGGTTTAGGGCTTACCTGAACCCCAAAGGTAGGTAAGATCATGGCACAAAATATGCAAGAATAGCCCTAAGGGCAATTATTTTCAACACTTTTGGGGCTCGGGTAGGGTTTTAGGATTTAGGATTTAGGGTTTAGGGTTTCGGATTTCTGTAGGACTAGCCGGTTGTAGGGTTTTGGTTTGGTCTTTAGGGGTTGGTTAGCGTTTGACCGGTTTCAGGTTCTAGGTTTCGGGGTTTTTTGTGCTTTACGATTTAGTGCTTCAACTTTGCGGAGTTTTTTTAAGCTTAAAGTTCCAAACATGTGGGTTTGGAGAGTTTAGGTGAGATTTATGCTTGGAATTTGGATAGAGCGTTTTGGTACAAAGTTTCAGGTTGCATCATATTGAAAGGATTTAAGGCATACAATTGGGTTGCCTGGGGAGTTTCCCTACAACAAAGAGATTGTTGAGGTCTTTGTGGTGGGTCGCATGGCAGGGCGGCAGTCTGAAAATCATGTGCCATTGGAGAGTTGGGGGGGTTCCAGATGCCAAATCCTTGCAAATGAATGGTTGCATACGGTCCCTAAGCCCTTAACCCTGAAACCCCTAACCCCCTGATTCTGAACATGAAGGTTTCTTCGCATATCTTCCAAGATCCTCCAAGTACCCTTGATTGTGCCATTGTCTACACTTCTTAAAGGGTGGTATATAGGGAATTATGATATGGGACTGCTACAGGGTATATTTCGGGGGATACTAGGAGTTTAGACTGTAGCTCTCAATTGGAGTTGCAGGGTTTCAAATTATAGGTACAGAGGGTAGATGGAGGGTCCAGGTTGTGGCATGACCTGCTATGCAGGGTATTACCTTCAAGAAGTTTTGCTCTTGAAGCTCAATCCCCCCCTCTCACTGCCATGTAGATTCCGTCGCACCCTAAACCCTAAACCCATAGCTATAAAGGGGGCCAGCGGCACAGACTTCCACGAACATAAATCGTTGAAGAAGCACAGAGAAAGGCTTTCATTATCCTCCAAAACTGCGGGTATCAGCGTCAAGGGTACGTGAGCTATACTCTTAACTGCTTAAAGGGATGTTATATAGACGGTTATATAGGGGACTACGATAGGAGCTCTGAAGGGGCATACTAGGAGTTTAGACGATAACCTTCTATAATCCCCTATAATCCCAGTTTCCATTTGATTTTCCATTTTCTTTTCCATTTGATTCTCCATTATAGGGGTTATTAGCTCCCTACACCCCAAAAGTATGTAAAATAATAGCCCTTAACCCAGAATAATAGTCACAAAGGCCATTATTTTACCTACTTTTGGAGTCCAGATATAGCTCACGTAAGGTTGTGCAAGATTTTCTTCATCCAGGGTACAATCCTCCAGTTCCCTAGGTTGGCCATCAGTTTCCTCTGGTTTGCAAGGCATTCTGGTCCCTATATATATGGTTAGGGTTTAGGGTTTAGGATATGTATATATATAGATATACTAAAAGGCTTCGGGTTTAAGATTTAGATACTATAGTCCCCAATAAGATAGTAGTTTCCATGTCCTTTTCATTCTTCCATTCCTTGCAAACCAGGGGAAGTTACCAGACCCTAAACCCAGTGAGTAAAGATCTCCAGTTCCTCAGGCGTCCGACGTCGCCCAAAGATGGCGCTCATCGCGGCAGTGACAAGAAGGGCAGCAACCCAGGACAAAAGGGGGATTGGGATTTAGAGTTGAGGGTGGGATGGAAGATGGATTCTTTCGCAAGTTGTCCATTGCATCTACTTACAAGACAAGATTAAGTGCGGTACGGACGGTTGGGTGCAATGCTTTTTTTTTTTTTTTTT